CTCCTAGACATAAGTAGAAGGTTTGCATTCATCAGGCGTAATTTTACCTCAACTGTATAAGATTTTATGGGGGGAAATCCTTCCCAAATCATTTTCGTTTCTGTGTTGACAACAGCTGCTTTCCACACTACAGTTCACATTCTCTACCCCTGTGGGCACAAGTTTTCTTTCCTTCTACTCACCTTCCCACTCACTCCCCCAGACACATACAAGAAAAGCATCCAAAACCAGTTTTAAAAAGCAAGCACAGGCCAGGTGCTCACACCTGTAATCCCCAGCACTTTGGGAGGCCAAGGTGAGTGAATCACCTGAGGTTAGGAGTTCGAGACCAGCCTGGCCAACATGGTGAAACCCTGTTTCTACTAAAAATACAAAACATTAGCTAGGTGTGGTGGTGCGCACCTGTAATCCCAGCTATTCTGGAAGCCGAGGCTGGAGAATTGCTCGAACCTCGGAGGCAGAGGTTGCAGTGAGCCGAGATAGTGCCATTGCACTTCAGCCTGGGCAACAGAGCAAGACTCCCTTTCAAAAAAAGAAAAGAAAAGAAAAGAAGCATGCACACATTTTTTTCATTTCCTTTCCTTTCCTTTCTTTCTTTCTCTCTCTCTCTCTGTCTCTCTCTTTCTCTCTCTGTTTCTTTCTTTCTTTCCTTTTCTTTTCTCTTTTCTTCTTTTCTCTCTCTTCTTTCTTTCTTTCTTTTCTTTTTTCTTTTCTTTTCTTTCTTTCGAGATGGAGTCTCACTCTGTCACCCAGGCTGGAGTGCAGTGGCGCGACAATAGCTCATTGCAGCCTCAAACTCCAAGGCATGGTCCTACCTCAGCCCCTCAAAGTGCTGAGATTACAGGCATGAACCACTGTACCTGGTCCATTAGCTATTATTTTAACTCCTTAGTGGTATCATTTTGCAGTGAAAGAAAACATTTTATAATCCATATTATCATCATGACTTCATAAAGGGCAATATAACAAAAAAACGCATGGAAGTAACATAATTTCAGGCTAAACAATTCTTGGAAATCATAAAGTTAATTTATGGAATTTATTTGATTTTTTTAAAAATCACTGCATTTCTTTTTTTTTTTTTTTCTTTTTTCATTCTGCTGCAAGTCATTGAAAATTCTGTTATCTAAAGTCCTAGGATCAAGATAAAAGAAGAAAAAGAAAAAGATTTTTAAAGTAAGTAAAATATAAAATTTTTAAAAAGAAAAAAAAAAAGGAAAATTCTGTTATTCTGGAATTCACATTTGGGGACCACAGATCTGAGAGAAAGTCTTTCCTGAAATCTTCCCACTCTACCACTAGGCAGAACAAATCCCCTTCTTTCTCCTCAAGCATTTTGTGAATACTTTTGTTATATCACATAGTTTCATAATTACTCCTGTTAATGTTTATCTAACAGCTAGCCCACAATTTTTTTTTTTTTTTTTTTTTTTTGATACGGAGTTTCGCTCGTTGACCAGGCTGGATTGCAGTGGCAGGATCTTGGCTCACTGCAACCTCTGCCTCCTGGGTTCAAGTGATTCTCCTGCCTCAGCCTCTCCCAAGTAGCTGGAATTATAGGCACCCGCCACCACGCCAGGTTAATTTTTTTTGTATTTTTAGTAGAGATGGGTTTCACCATGTTGGCCAGGCTTATCTCAAAGTTTGGACCTCAAGTGTTCAGCCCCACCTCAGCCTCCCAAAGTGCTGGGTTTACAAGCGTGAACCACTGCCCCTGGCCAAATTTTTAAAGGCATAAAGACTGTGTCTTACTCTTTTCTCCATTTGCAGAATACAGCAAATTCCCTAAAACACAAGCATTCAAAAAGTATTTATCCAAATTAGTTTGCATATAACTCAGTCAAATGTAAAGAGAAGTTTCTCTCCCTAGACAAAACTGATCACCTTATTTGCAAACTGGCATACAACAGGCCCTGAAGGGAAGCCCCAGAGAGGTAAAGAAAGTTTTAAGAACATGCAAGGGCCGGGCGCGGTGGCTCACGCCTGTAATCCCATGGGAGGCCGAGGCGGGCGGGTCAAGAGATCGAGACCATTCTCGCCATGACGAAACCCCATCTCTACTGAAAATACAAAAATTAGCCGGGTGTGGTGGCACGCGCCTGTAGTCCCAGCTACTCGGGAGGCGGAGGCGGAAGAATCGCTTGAACCCAGGAAACGGAGGTTGCAGTGAGCCGAGATTGCGCCACTGCACTCCAGCCTGGCGACAGAGCAAGATTCCGTCTCAAAAAAAAAAAAAAAAAAAAGAACATTCAAATACCACAGGCACATAGCAATGGCTTGAGAATTGAAACTGAAATTGAGCTAATTAGTAAACACCATTGTTCAGAACAGTCTTGGCTAAGAAATAGGGGTTGTGTTTAAACCTTCAGGATGACATCCATTTATACAGACTGAAAGTGAAAATGGAATTTCCGGATGCAGAATAGAATAAGTGTCATCAAAAGGTAAGGTAAATGCCAGCTGCGACCCTTCTGTGTTCATTTATCCAGGTCATTTATTCATGAGTCATAGATTTGTGGAATGAAAACTGAACACTGAACCAGCAGTTCCCCTGAAACTAGGCAAACAACAAGTTCTTATTTCCCTGACAAAATCTGGCTACAGTTCAGCAATGCAGTAAAAAATATGCTTCATAAAAATATCCTTATGGATTTTCTCGTTACATTGACAATTTCCCCTTATGAAGGGTGGAGTCACCAAAAACTTGTATCCTCTGTATGCATACATTTCCCATGAACATAAAAAGTACAAGGAATAAAATTATAATCCATCTTTTCATACACTAACAAATTCAGAGAATGTCAGCATACATTGTGTTATATTATTATTCTTTTTTTTAAATTGTACTTTAAGTTCTGGGGTACATGTGCAGAACATGCAGCTTTGTTACATAGGTATACACATGCCATGGTGGTTGGCTGCATCTGTCACCCTACATCTACGTTAGGTATTCTCCTAATGCTATCCCTCCCTTTGTTCCCTACCCTCTGACAGGCCCCAGTATGTGATGTTCCCCTCCCTATGTCTATGTGTTCTAATTGTTCAACTCCCACTTGTGAGTGAGAACATGGAGTGTTTGGCTTTCTGTTCTTGTGTTAGTTTGCTGAGAATGATGGTTTCCAGCTTGATCCATGTCCCTGCAAAGGACATGAATTTTTTTTTTCTTTTTTTTAAGAGATAGAGTCTTGCTCTGCCACCCAGGCTGGAGTGCAGTGGTACGATTATAGCTCATTGCAGCCTCAGACTCCTGGGCTCAAGGCCTCTTCCTACCTCAGCCCCGCAAAGTGCTGGGATTACAGGCATGGACCACTGTACCTGGTCCATTAGTTATTATTTTAACTCCGTAGTGGTATGCAAACATTCAGTTGTTTAGCGTGGACTTGAGGTTCAAATTTGGACCTACTTTTAGTAGTGATTAAATGGGGATGTGAGGGTACAATTACATCTGTAAAGATGTAATTGCAGCAGCACTGGCAATTGTAAGTAGGGTTGGAGGAAGAAAACTAGAAACCCAGAACATCACCATTTGCTGGTGTTTATTTCCCTAGTTTTCAAGATGAAAGGAATGGAAACAGCTCTGAGAACCAAGCTTGGGCATATTCTAATCTAACGCTTCTGCAAAAGCAGCATCATGCATGCTCCGCTGCATCATGTACTCACTATACCTGGCAGCTTCAAGACGGCCTCCAGTGATTTCTGCTGGAATTCATACCTTTGTGGAATTCTTTCTCAAATTTTACCGGTGTACAGAAGTAATTATATGTCACTTCCAAGAAGGTTGTAAAAGATGTAGCTTCTGTCTTGGTCTCTCTCTCATTGTCTGTTTCTCTCAGATTACTAAAGCCAGCTGCCATGGTGTGAGCAGACTATAGAAAGGCTCCATGTGAAAAGAAACGAAAATGTTCAGCCATGTGAGTGAGCTGGAAGCACGTTCCCAGCCTCAGCCAAGCCTTCAGGTGACTCTGCAGCCCTGGCTGACGGCTTGACTGCAAACGCATGAGACCCTGAGCTAGATCCACCTGGGTGAGCTGCTCCTAGATTCTTGACCCTCAGAAACAGAGTGAGATCAGAAATGTTTGTTGTTTCAAGCTAATTTTGGTGGTGGTTTGTTATCCAGCAATAGATAATATACCCACTCTAATCTTGGGCAAGTTAGGTAAATTGAGCCTCTGTTCCTCATCTATAAAGTGAGGACAAATATAAATAGAAATACATTTATATTACTCTCCTTTGTTCCAGAATGAATTTATGACTACTTTTAGGGATACAGAAAATAAAAGATGGCATAAATTAAATGAGAAGGGAGGCAGGAAAACAAGGATGGAGACATGAAACAGAAACAGGAAAGAGGTTTAAAAAATAATGTATTCCATACATTCCATAACTGAGTCACAATTCTGGCTCTAAAACTTTGAGTAATTCCTTTTACCTCCTCTTCTACCACTTCAAACACACAGAGAGAGTTATTTATTCAATTCAGAGTCCAAGAATTTTTAAAAGAATTCAATCACTTCTGAGACTTATAATTATCCCTAGTACTAACATGGGTGGGAATTTTTCTTGGGAGCTGCCCTAAAGCCGACACTGTGTGGAGTACAACTGATGCCTTCATACTCATGGGAAACTGCATGAAATGGGATTATACATACAAAGTGTCTCATATCTTGCAGGCTCATAACGGGCTCATACAAGGTGCTACTATAACTATTACGATTCAGTGTCAGGTTTTGCCAGTGTAACGGTTCACCTCTTAAAAATGTTTGCCCTTCACAGGCTAATACTCTTGACTTTTTATCCTCATACATATTCAGAACAGCCTACTCTCAGCCATGAACTTAATGGCAACAGTTTGGGAAAAATCCTGGATGTTTTGAATATTTTTCCATATTACTTCCATCTCAATAAAAAAGTTTGACATAAATGTCCATCTTCGTAGCCACCCATGCACAAAGCTTTGGGCCTCTTTGATACCTTCCCCCTTTTCCCCTTTTCTCATTTACCTTGCCAGCCAAGTCCTAATATTTTAGTAACATCTCTTCCTATCTGTTCCCTCCTTTTCATCCTTGTGGCCATCGCCTAACTCTGCGTTTTAACTCTTCATACCCACATTTAGGCAATCACGTCCAGTTATTGACAATCAGCCTTGATGCATATCATTGTTAGGGCAATTTTGTCTTCTTTTATCACAGTTCAGTCAAGTGTCAGTCTGGGTCCCAAGTGCAGAATGAGGAAGTCCAACATCTTTGAAATTAAAGACCTTCGAGAATTAAGACCCAGACTCTGCCCCAACTCTAACTCCTACTCTTTACCCAACACAGCTCCTTGCCTCAGATTTGCTCTCCTCCTGGGTCTTTCTGCACTGTGATTCCTACCTAGGATGAGCTACCACCCCAACCCTCTTTCTGGATTTCAATTAAATTCACTAAACCTAGATCAGATCCTAGCTCAGAGAATTGAGAATCCCAGAGTTGGAGGGGCTCTGATGGTCACTCTCTCCAACTCTCAACCTCACCCATGCATCATCCATTCACCTAGCCAACATTTGTTAGTTACCTCCTAAGCCAAGTTAAAAATAAATATGATAGGTTCAGCCCAGAAGAGGTCACATCTATACAGGGAGACTGGCCTGCAAATGATGATAATGTGAGTATAAAGTTCAAGACACAAACAAAGTGCTTGGAGAGCACATTCTTTGTCATTTGTTGTCTAGATTCTATTTGAATACCTTCAGTAACAGGAAACTCATTATCTCAAGGGGTAGCTCATTCCATTTTCAGAAAACTAACCACCTTAAAGTTATCATATTGAGTTTAAATCTAACTTCCACACACTCATTCTAGTTTTTTCTTTTTCTTTCCTTTTTTTTTTTTTTTTGAGAGTCTTACTCTGTTGCCAAGGCTAGAGTGCAATGGCCAACCTCAGCCCACTACAACCTTTGCCTCTCAGGTTCAAGTGATTCTCATGCCTCAGCCTCCTAAGTAGCTGGGGTACAGGTGTACACCACCATGCTTGGCTAATTTTTGTATTTTTGGTAGAGATGGGGTTTTGCCATGTTGGCCAGGCTGGTCTTCAACTCCTGACCTCAAGCGATCCATCCACCTCAGCCTTCCAAAGTGCTGGGATTATAGGCGTGAGCCACTGTGCCTGGCTTAGTTTTTTCAAACTCCAGTGTTTTCAAAGACAAACCTAGGTGTCTTTTCATATGACTGTCATTAAAGTCTTTCAAGAGCATGCCATGAATATCTCTAAACTACTCCTATGTTCTGATTCTAAACTTTTTATCCTGCTGGTAGCCCTCCTCTGGCTACACTGTTGATTTTTTTTTTTTTCCCTTCAAAGTTTGGTGGGCATTCAGCAAGGCAGAATGGAGGGAGACTATCACCTCCTTTGTTCCTAACTCAACCTAAAATCACAGTTACCTTTGAAGAGGGAAGGGGGCATTCTCATTACATTACTGCTTTTAGACAATCAAAACTTCCAGTGACTCTTTTTTTTCCCTCTCTCACACACCTAAGTGATCTCTGTAGCAGCAAAGCCTGTAGCAAAAATGTGTTATTTTTTTTTCTTTGCGTTTGTTTTTGAGTGTGCTGGCACTATCGCATCTTACCATAGCCTCAACCTCCTGGACTCAAGTGATCCTCCCACCTCTGCCTCCTGAGTAATGGGGACTATAGATGTGAGCCACCATGCCTGGCTAATTTTTTAAATTTTTTTCTAGAGGGAAGTTCTCACTATGTTGCCTAGGCTGGTCTCAAACTCCCGGGCTCAAGCAATCCTCCCTCCATGGTCTCTCAAAGTACTGCGATTACAGGCATGAGCCACCAGGTGCGGCCTGTGACACAAATTTGAATGACTCATGGTGAACTTGTTGCTTGCTGCCTTGTACTGTTGGTTAATGTTTTTTTTTTTTCCACATATTTAAGCTCTCCACCTAAATATTAGGTTTCTTGAGGATAAAAATATTCTTATTATTCATATTTTCCTTTAATAAATGCATTAATAAATACATGAATGTTAAGGGAGAAAAATGCTATGGTATGCAGAATAATGCCCTCTCTCTCCCAAAAAAAGATGTCCACATCAGAATCCCAGAACCTGTGAATATGCCATGTTGCATGTCGAAGGAGAATTAAGGATGCACATGGAATGAAGTTTGCTAGTTAGCTGATTTTAAAATAAAGAGATTATCCTGGATTATCATCGTGTCCAAGGTAATCATAAGGATCTTTTTATTTATTTTTATTTTTTATTTTTTTAAAGATGGGGTTTCATCATGATGGCCAGGCTGGTCTTGAACTCCTGACCTCAGGTAATCCACCCACCTCGGCCACCCAAAGTGCTAGGATTACAGGCGTGAGCCACCGCGCCCGGCCAGGATCTTTTTAAAATGAAGACAGAGGAGGAAGTCAAAGTCAGAGAGCAGTTGGAAGATGCTACTTTGCTAGCATTGACGATGGAGAAGGGAGCAATGAGTCAAGGATGTGGGCAGCTTCTCAAAGCTGAGAAAGGAAAGAAAACGGATTCTCCCCATGAGCCCCCAGAAGGAAACAGCCCTGCTGACACCTTGACATTAGCCCAATGAGACTCATTTCAGACTTCTGACCTTCATAACTGAAAGATAATATGTGTGTTATTTTAAGCTACTGAATTTGTGGTCATTCGTTACAGCAGCAATAGGAAACTCATTTTTAAATGTTCATATTTGGCATTATTTGCCAGTTATCATTTGGCTGATTCCTAATCCTTACAACACTCATTAGATTTTTTACAAGGTTGAAGTTATTGGGTACATTTTGAAGGATAAACCCAGAAAATAAAAAGCAGAGCTAGGATTTTAACTCAAGTGTCTCTCACTCCAACTCATACTCATTCCACAAAACCAGTATGCTTTTAGAACAGATAAGATCAAAATGTAGATATTGCACCTGAGTATTTCTCTGAATGTTCTGATAAGGGTTCCAGAGCCTGTTGTTCCTGGCAGAAACTGGATTCAGTTTTTTTTTTTTTTTTTTTTTTTTGAGATGAAGTCTCGCTCTGTTACCCAGGCTGTAGTGCGGTGATCTCAGATCACTGCAACTTCCACCTCCCCAGTTCAAGTGATTCTCCTGCCTCAGTCTCCTGAGCAGCTGGGACTACAGGGGCACGCCACCACATCCAGCTAATTTTTGTATTTTTAGTAGAGATGGGGTTTCATCATGTTGGCCAGGCTGGTCTCGAACTCCTGACCTCAGATAATCTGCCCGTCTCAGCCTCTCAAAGTGCTGGGATTACAGGCGTGAGTCACCTTGCCCAGCCTTCCATATCTATTATTAACATTCCTCTTTAATTCATTGGTTTTTTTTTCTTTTTCTCTCCTCGAACTTTTCTCTTTCCAGTTGATACTATTTAAACATAAAAGTAACATTTTAAACTGAATATTAACTTACTGCTTTTAACAAATCAAATTGCTTCATATCATATAATCAACTATAGTTATATTAGAATGTAAACTAAATACAGTATTTACCTACAAATATAGTATCTGGTTTCTAAGGAAAATATGCTTTTATAAGCTATCATTGTTTCTCCTGATAAACTATACTCAAACCCTGCAGCTCTCTAACAAGAGTGGCTATTCAGTGGTGATACACTTAGCTGTGCAAAATTTGCTGCTGGTTACAGACGCAATAAGCTTGGGTGGAAATTCTCCAATTATAAGGATGCAGTTTGCCCTCAAACTCATAATGAAAACATAAAACTTTAGTTTTCACAAAGCTAGAATAATTAAATCCTAATTCTGACATAAGCCCTTTTGGAAACCTAAGGAATAGAATAAAAGGTGACGTATTCATTTATTCATTCATGAAATATTTTCACTCACGTGTTGCAACATGTCATTTTTTCTCTTCATTTAAAACAAGTCCATTTATTCATCAGTGAGCTCCTATTACACATAGTGACCACTATACTATAATATAGTGTGTTAGTGTGCAACTCTGAAGTAGATGGTTCCACAACTTCTTTCTTACGTGATCCTAGGGCAAATTACCCTCATGGAGATTTTCTTCTCTTGTGAAATGGATATAAGAATAATGCCTGCCTCATACAGAGACAGTGCACTTAGAGCAAAGGATACTAGAAAGGAAGCATCTGCTCCCTGTTAGTTTTCACAATATGTCAGGCCATTGGTGCATAAGAAGACATGTCCTCTGTTCTTGAAAACTTTATACTCTAAGTAGTTAAGATAAGCAAAGAATTATAGCTTTTAAAAAGTATGCAAATCAGCCACTAGTATTTCTGAGTTCACATCTTGGGGACTCCTACTGAAGTCTGCACATTGGCAGGACCTGCTTCAGGGGCAACCATGACTGGCATCTATTGTAAGAAGTGCTCTAGACACACCCTAATGTCTCAGCTCCCCTGAAGCCTGTCCCCTACCTTGTACCCTCTGTACTTCGGGGAATCCACCTACAGAATTATACTGAATAAAAAATTAATCTTGCCAAATTGTCTGATCCCCAGATAATAACACCAACACCCCCCTTTCATCTCTCCCCTCTTGCCCACACATGTCCTCTTTAGTATTTGAGGATAGCCTCACTAACAGGAATTTCTGAAGTACGTGCCAATCTCAGGTCCACAGGCATGCAATCCTCTTGGTAAAGCACTTGAATTCTATCATTAAGCAACCTCAGACACCTACATTTTGTCTTCTTTGTCATGTTCAATTAGTACACAGAAACTTCCTGCCTGCCAGCCAAGAGCCTTTGGTCCCTCATCTTACAAGAAAATAAAGCTTTTTCCCCCTTGAACATTCTATTGCCTTTTCAAATATAAAATGAGACAAATGTGAAAGTGCACTGCAAACTCCAAACAACTTAATTTCAAAGAAGCAACTCCCAGACACTGAGATGGTAATAAAACAGGGAGCCATTCTTTAGTTACTCAGCAATTTCCTGATGATTTCCTAGCCATGAGCTGTAGGGAAACAGGTGCTAGAAGAGTATGGTAAACCAGCCTCTTTTCCCTGTGACTGGTGATTTTGGCAAAGGCCACGATAAATCAGTAACCATCAGGCTGAAGGTATCTCAGACCCACATGCAGGTCTATTTTAAGCTTCTTGGCTGGCACCACTGAGACTCCATGGGTCATCTCCATGTTGTCAAAGCTAACCTCTAATACCCCTAAGGGTCTTATCACCTGCCCACAAGAACATCAGGCCAATCTGGTCAAGCATTGCTCATTTTCAAGTCTGTCCTAGGGCAAATGGATCACTAAATGTTAAGGTTCCCATTCAGGAAATGTCATTGCATTCTTGATATCACAGAAAGCATTTGTGTAAACAGGTGATTTTGCACAGTGCTTTCTTAATACCATACTATTTTTGGAGCCCCCTCCTCTCTCCTACCTTCTCCACAACGATCCTGGGTTGTTTCAGTGCTGCTTTTCAACACTTTCCAATGCTGAAGTATCAACAGGTGCTCTGGTGGCTAAAACAGTTTGGGATCAAAGCAGTAAACCCAAGGACCTGTCCTGGTCCCGCCAGATGGGCATGTGATAACAAACAGCACTTGTGAAGCAAGCCCATTGGGTGGCTAAATGGAGCTCCATCTAGAAACAGGAACAAAGCCAGGCCAGAGGAGAATCAAGGTTGAGATACTAAAGAATCTCCTCCAGTTGTACCAGCGGTTGGTACCTTTGCAAAAGGACAGTTTATTTATAATGTACATATCACTGAACCATACAACTTTACAACCAGAGGACAAAACTTATACCTGTAAATGAGATTATTTCAAAGCCATCTTTTTAGGAAGGCTTTATTCTGATTTCAAAAAC